CATTCAGGGCGGCCATTTGTACATTCCTGCTTCCATTCAGCTCCATCGAGTTTAAAGTGGCCAGACATACTCATGTTTTTGTGCTTCCCTCCATTTGTCTAGTGGAGTTAATTACATTGATGGATCACCTACCATTTACAATACGAAACATACTTATATGTCATTACATATTCTTCGACCCAGCAGCAGCGAATTCGGGATTTATAGCGAGAACGAGTTAGAAATGAGACATTGATCATACCATAATTCTCGATATATACTACAATGTAGAATAATGATATAAACGGCGGTAGAAAAATACTAACTCATCATTTACCAATATGGTAAAGGATGGTATAAATTGATCTCGAAATTCTCCCAAATATATCGAGAATTAATATAATTTTTGTAGATCGTAAAATCATGTTCCTTATGGGATTATTTTGAAAATTGGAGTGAAAATGAAGGTCTAAAGGGTGGTAGATCATGGCCGAGAGTGGTCCCAAAAAGTACCCAAAATATAAAAAACTAAATACAATTTTATAGATAACAATGAACTCTGTTTTGTGACCTTTGATTTGGTGCCTCAAGTTTTGTTTACCTTTCTCGTTAAGTTCAATAAATTTATTTCACCATTAAAAAACAGAAGATTTAACTGTTCTAGGACGCATGGAAATCACACTCTATAGTTGAAGGTGGCGTCATGGAAGATGGGACATGAGAGGAAGAAGAGGGCATTCATGTTGTCGTTGGACTTTCTTGCTCTTTGTTCATCACCAAGGGGGCTAATTATTTCGTTTCTTCTCTCTTGTAGCATGAGATGGGCAATTGGACAAGTTGTGAAATGGCATTTGTTTCCTCTGTCCCCATAATTAAATATTGCTTTTGGAAATTGTTTTTTCTTTATTGGAGTAAAATTGTTTTTAGGTAAAAAAATCGTTCGGAATCGGATCAGAAATCGGATAAAGACCGGATAAGAGAGCACGCACCCAAAACCTAATTAATTTCTCATCTTTTTAGACCTCAGCCCACTCAAATCTCCATAAGCTCAATCTAAAATCAAGACCATATTGGAACCGAACCGGGTCAAAAGCAGGCTGTATCCAATCCAATTTTCGGTCCTCATATTCTAAAAAATAACTGGACCGGGACCGGTTGAATTCGGAATAATTTAACTGGACCTTCTTTCACTCTGCCCCGTCCTAAATTATATAGGCATACTGTGTCTTAATTCTATTTAATATTAGTTAAATCATTTATGATTTATTTTTTGTTATGTCATATTGTAGTTGTTATCACGTGATAATTTCCATTTTCAGAAATCATGTCATATCTTCTATTTTACAGAGAAGATGTTTGTTTCTCGATTTTTTTATGATTTTTTCTTCTTCTATTTATAGTGATTTTCATTTGAAATGCATGTTGGGACATCCCAACTCGTACGCAAAATACTTGACTTGGATAACATTCTCCCTAATTAAGTCTTCACTAGTACTTGTTGTGCAAACATTCACATGGAGCTTCAAGAGCGTGGATAGGAATTGAAAGGGATGACGAATGATTTGAGATGATTGGTGGGTGATTAGACCTCCATTTTGCTGCTGGTGGCGTTGGTGCTACTTAGTGGTGGGTGGGGATGGTGGATGCTGTGCTTTGCCCACTTGAAACCTAATTTGAGAGAGAGATACATCGAGACAAAACTAGAGGGAGAAAGCCAATTCACGAATTTGAAGTTTGGACATGCCCATCATATCTTATGTTTTTAATCAACTGTTTAAACTGGGATCGTGGAAATTTTTACACACGACTATTTGACTAAACCAGCTATGATATCATGTCATAAATCAGTTGGTCTTAATAACTCGAGTTGTTAAAATAAGGTTATATTGGATTTTATACCACTCTTTCTCTTTTTCACCCGTGTCGAGCATTTCCATTTGTTGGCCCAAACCCTACACACATACGTTTGCGAAGAGGTTAATGAAGCGTGCGGTCATCATTCACATCTCTTTCAATGGATAATACATTGTTATATTTTGCCAGTAGCTAGGACGTGGGGAAAAATCTTCGACTCACTAATCATCATGAAGATGGCTATTCCCCCATTACAAGACGAAAATACTAATAACGTACGTCATTGTTTTGATAACGAGACAAGTAGGGGGGGAAATGGATGACGATTGCAGTCTATAATTGCAGATACTACCAATGATCATGTAGAAAGATCTAACTGTTTCTTTTTCTTTTTTTTTGGGTAGAAATATCTAACTGTTTCTTGTGGGCAGCAAGATGGCTTAATAATGCTCGAGAAACTTCTCTTGGCCTTGGCATGCATGAAACGTTTGCCTTAGTATAGAAGGTATTATAGACCATCTATGATAAAATGTGAAAATGACATGGATTTAATGTGGTTTGATCTTGATGGACTTTACATCTACAGGAAACGGTAAATTATGGCTATATGAGCGATGACATCACAAAATATGAAAATAACACGACGGGTAAAGTGAAAACACGATATCACATTTTTGTAGTAGGGTAACCAACTAACCATGCATGCAAAGAGTGTATGAGAATCAACTCCAATTTTATCTTTCTTCCTAGGTATATGACAACCCAAATTATGTGCCTACTTAGGCCAAGTCCAATGCAAAACCCCAAATTTGGGGGCCTTGAACTCCAAATTTGGGGATTGAACCCTATTTTTTCTTCTTTTGCTCCAATGCAACAAACTCCATATTTGGAGTTCTTAATATATCCAGTTTTTTCATTTATTTAAAAATGTACTTATCGAAACTTTAATATAATTTGTTCATGTTAATTTTTGTATAGTTCGTCGTCATTTTTAAATACAAAATTTTCGATAGAATTTTGTTAAATTTCGAGACCGAATTTTTTTTAGCGAAAAATTAACGACCTAATTTGGGTTTACACACAACACTTAAAAATGATAAAGCTTAATGAGTTGACATAATAATTCAAATGGTACAATTCATAGGTTACACACAACACTTGCTAATCATAAAGCTTAAATATTACACACAACACTTGCTAATCATAAAGTTTAAAAATAACACACAACACTTGAAATGATAAAAAAGAAACACATAACATGTCAATAATCACCCAGAAGGGAATAGTAATTCCCGTAATCTCCTCCACCTTCATCTCCTCCTCCATTTCCATCTCCACCTCTAGTTTGACTTGCGTTGGATGAATAGTCGGGAACAGAGTTGGGATCATCTTGATCATACCCTAGGAGCATGTTTTGATGATTTTTGTAAAACTTCCTCTTTCTTGGTGTCAACTTCGACAAGTCCTTTTCAATAAGATCAATATTGTTCCGAAATAGTGCTGCTTCCCTCTCTTTTTTCTCAACTTCCCACTTTTCTTGGTCACGCTTTGATTTTTGTTCTTGGAATTCCATCCTTCTTCGCTCATACTCAGTCCTCAAAGCATGCCTCTCCTTCAACTCACTTCCATACTCAAGCAATTGAGCAGTGTAGCTCTCTGATGACTCGACAACCCCCGTTCCTTTCTTCTTAGCTGCCTTCTGTTTGTCGCGTCCAGCAGGGCGAGATATGACGAATGGTGGAGTTTCTTCAACGAACGGTGGAGTTTCTCCGACGAATGGTGGAGTTTCTTCGTCTCCTTCTGTGTTATTGAGGTCTGTCTGTGGTGTTGATTGATAACCAAGACCCATGGGAGAACCATCAGAACCTTGACTCATGCGGCTTTGTTTTGAAGATGGCATTATTATCACGGTATGAAATTTTTGGCATCTTTTCAAGATCCACCAACAATGACCAAAATTCCACCCCTTTTCTCCGGTCTCGCTTAAATAGAGTTGTTCTGCCATATGCTCCTATACGTATAAATGAATGAGATGGAAAAGGAGTTAGAAAATAGAACACACGTACTAATGAACAAGGTAAAAAATAACAATGATGGTGACGGAGAATTCATACCACATCCATTTGATTCGTGCCACTTGGTTGATTCCTCTCTGCCCTTTGGATAGCTGAATTCCAACACTTGCAGTATTTGGTGATTGTGCCCATTCGATTAGCCATGCTTTTGATAGTACGAGATGTGTTTCGATCGTTCGATCGAAATTGCTCTGCCACTCTATCCCAGAACCTTGTATCCCTTTGATTGACACCCACAGCTCCATCTTCCGATATCATCACCCAAGAACTGCACAAGTTCTTATCTTCCTCCACTGTCCAATTCCCTTTTCTCTTGCTTGTCATTGTTTGGTTTTTAGAGAGACAAAGATGATAGAAAGAATGAGGGGACTAACAGAAAATTTTAATAAGAATGAATGTTAGAGAGAGGGGAGGATGTCTGAATATATAGAGAATTTATGACCGTTAGGTTATGACCGTTCGGATATAAACGTTAGGTAAGATTGGTAGGTAAGGCTATTAGGCATCACATGTTCGAATATGACCGTTAGGTAAAGTTGGTAGGTAGCACATGTTCGAATATGACCGTTATGTAAGGTTGGTAGGTAGCACATGTTCAGATATGACCGTTAGGTAAGGTTGGTAGGTAGCACATGTTCGAATATGACCGTTAGGTAAGGTTGGTAGGTAGAACATGTTCGAATATTAATGCAAACCCCCCATTTACCATCAATTGTATACTTGTCTGAAACTTCCTCCCATTTCTAAAACAAACACATCCATCATGAGTTCCTCAGATTACTCATCTTCTGGAGGAGAACAAGAGATAGAAGAGTTGAATCTGTTTAACTATCATCGTTTGACTTTAATCGGGCGGAGGCTTGAGGAAGGTTCACGCTCACGTCGTCGTTCAACAAATCGCACCTACATTGATCGTGAAAGGGTCTCAGGTCATGACTGTCTTATGCAGGATTATTTCAATCCAAATCCAACATACGATGCCCGCATATTCAGAAGGCGTTTTTGTATGCAACCACGACTATTCAATCGCATAATGGGTGACGTTGTGAGGTATGATCCCTCTTTTGCACGAAGGAGTGATGCCGTTGGTCACCTAGGCCTATCGCCGGAGCAAAAGCTTACTAGTGCACTGCGCATGCTAGCTTATGGATCTCCAGCTGATCAACTTGATGACTACATGCGTATGGGTAAGAGCACTGTGCTTGAAGTCTTCAGGAAGTTTTGCAGAGCCATTGTCGGGATGTACTCATCGACATATCTTCGTGCACCAACTCCTGCTGATCTAAGGATTCTACTTCATAAAGCCTCACAACGCGGATTCCCTGGTATGATTGGATCAATTGATTGCATGCACTGGGAGTGGAGGAACTGTCCTACTTCTTGGACTGGGCAGTACCTGGGGCACAACCGTAAACCAACAATCATTCTCGAGGCAGTGGCTTCGTACAACACCTGGATATGGCATGCTTTCTTCAGCCCTCCTGGGTCGAATAACGACATCAATGTTCTGGGGATGTCTCCAGTGTTTGACGGTGTCCTCAACGGATCCACCCCACGAGTACGATTTGAGGTAAACGGTCATACCTATGATCAATTTTATTATTTGGCTGATGGTATTTATCCTTCGTGGTCAACTTTAGTGAAAACATTCAGCAATTCAAACTCAAACAAAGAACCCTTGTTTGCTCGATGTCAAGAAGCACATCGAAAAGACGTAGAGCGGGCCTTTGGAATTCTTCAAGCTAGATGGGCAATCGTTCGTGGCCCTGCAAGATCTTGGGATGTTGCAACAATTAATGATATAATGTTGACATGCATTATATTGCACAACATGATAATCGAGGATGAGCAGGTTGATTCTGACGATGAGATGGAAGATAATCTTGATTATGAGGTCCACGACCAACAACCGACTAATGTCGATAGAGATATTCCAACCCTAACTGAGTACTTAGCTAGGAATAATAGGCTTCGGGCTGCACCAACACATCATGGGCTTCGTCGGGACTTGGTCGAACATATTTGGAACTTGCATGAAAATAATTAGTCATTGTTGTTGCTTGGTATCGATGCTGGGATGCTTTGTAATTCAATTAAAGTTGTAGTTGGTGACAATTTATTTTGTAATTTACGAATGCATTTTCATTTCAATAATATAATTTCCATTCTTAGTTCGATCTAATTTTTGTTTACACATAACTTAAAGATGATAAACATAAATTTTAAATAAAATGAATTCAATTTAAGTCATCTTAGGAAAAAAAATCTAAATACACAAATATTAAACACAAATTAAATACAATCTAAAAAGCCTAAATACAAACATTAATTCCCATTTCCCTAATTAATTACATTCCATTCCCTTAATCAATTTCCTTAAATAACTTATAAACAATTAACAAAAAAGAAGCTGCTGGGCGGCACAACCAAATCAAAAGAAATTAAACAAAATATTAAAAACAATTTAAATACAAATTAAAGAAGCCTAAATAAAATACAAAACAAGAATTGGCATTCCCTTAATTAATGGTGTAACGTGTTGTTGTGTCATCCAGCAATTAATTACACATTTCCTTTCTTCCCTTAATTAATCACATTAATTAGCAAGCAATTAATTACACCTTTCCTACCATTAATTACACCTTTCATGCTCTCCCTTGCACGTGCCCAACAATTTTTTCATTCCCCATAAATGCCGACTTCGGCATTCCCTCCCCCATATTTAGCGACCCAGATGCCGATGCCCTCCATAAATGCCGATTTTCGCCATTTTTCAGGTCTGCGTTGGAGCTCAAAAATCGCCATTAATGGCGAGAACTCCATAAATGCAGGCTGCATTGGAGTCAGCCTTATAAAACATTTTCAATCATTTAGCAAGCATTGAGGTTGTACATGGGCGCTGGGCCGTGCTTGGGCCGGCACGGCATGGCACGGGCATGCTTCGGACCCATTTATTTCGTGCCGTGCTTGGCACGGCCCGTCAGTTTCGTGTCGTGCCATGCAAGCTCATTTTTTAACTTTGCTAGGCCCGGCCCAAGCCCGGGCACGGTTCGAAACGTGCCGAGCCTATTCGTGCTCGTGTCATGCTCGTATTCGTGTTTAATGAAAAGGAAGAAAACAAAAGAGAAAATGAAAAAGAAGGTGAAAATTGGACGGAGAAAGATAGTATTAACCGATAATGTTTGAAAAAGGTAACAAATAAGGGGGAAAAGAAAATTGGAAGTATAGCGAGAGTGATTTGGCTTTGTTTAATTCTTCGTCCATTTTTACTTATGGTAGTAATTACATATATATCTTTATGACACTTCTAACAACAACAAATAATTAATTTTCTACTTGTAATTTGTAATATTTGAACATATAATTCTTTTTATATTTATTTTCTATCAAATAAATATTATTTTTGTGTTATGTCCGTTCTTATACTCAATAAAGTCTCAAAAATATTAGGCCCGACACGGCCCACTTATATACCGTGCCGTGCTCGTGCCCGTGCTCATGAAGTTTAGGCCCGGCACGGCCCATAAATTATTCGTGCTCGTGCCGGGCTGACCCATTTATTTCGTGCCCATGCTCTAACCGTGCCGTGTCATGCTAGCCCGTGGACGGCACGGCCCGGTGGCCAATCAATTCAATGCCCACCCACGAGAGAAGAGAAGGGTTTTGGTGGAAGAGCGGCCAGAATTCCAAGCGGCTGAGTTGCCTTACCTTTTTAGGGTAGATATATGGGTATTATCCAATGATCCACAATAACAACATTTTCACCATAGCTTTGAAAATAGACAACCTCAGTCGACGACACACGACTCTCTAAAACTACACATTTAACACATGCCAAGTGTAACAATTGAAAAGGATTGCAATATAATAGTACAAGTAATAAAATCTTGAATCTATGAATCTCTAGATTACTAATACTCAACTTTAGTTTATTATTTAGCTGAACAGATTCAGAGCAAAACAATTAAAATACTCTACAAATTATACTGAAGCTAGACTAATAATTACAGATTAGGAGCTCACATTCCCCCTAGCCACTAGCCAGATTAATGACTGATGATTCTCTAACTTGTTTTAATTCTCATTCGTAATATAGAGCCCTTGACTATACCTTAAATCTTGATTAAAGCAATCAAGGCTCTCTTGAGTCAGGTTCTTAATTAGAGAGACATATCCTTCTTTAACTAAATCCAACAAGGCGTTGTACAGTAGAATCCCTCTAATGGGTGAAGTTCTCACACACTATAAAGCAAGGAATTGACTCACTCTCGTGTTATCAATCCCCTACTTCCATTCTATGGTGTTATATTGACCAATAAGGTATTCCCTCTCATAGAATCAAAGCATAATCAATAATCTCGACTAAAGCAAAATTGAATCATGAATTCAAGTATAGATTGAATATGGCCTCAAGTATATCAAGAAAGAGTACTCATACAATAATCCAATCAAACATGGATAAGGTTCCTCAAAATCTATGTGAAGGGAGACTACTCTATAGAGAAGAGAGAGAATACATAAACCATCTTTAGGTTTACAATTGTCACGTCCAAGCTTGTTCTTCGAGCTCCAATGAGAAAGAAATCATCTTGATTCGCTTTAAGGTTGGCCCCGGATTGCTCTCATTTTCTTTGGAATGTCCCTTAGATGTATGGGACTCAAACCCCAAATCCCCTTCTCCAAAATTCTAGATATCTTTTTATACTCGCGGCATAGACTATGTCACGACCGTGACATTTAACTTCAGGCCATGACAGAAAAAAAACTTGTTGTTTCATTAAGTGGGGGAATGTCATGGTCTATGTCACTCCCCAAGCCATGCCACTAAAGTTCATGACGTGTCATGGGGAAAGATTCTGCATTTTTCATCCATTTCACATCCCGAGGGCATATGTCACCCCTTAAGCCGTGACATTCAGCTCCAAAGGGTGATGTAGGGCCATATGTCACCCCCTAACTCATGACACTGGGACAAACACCATTTTTTTGTCCCATTTTGACCACCAAAAGTCCTAAAAATTGTTCCTAAACTTCCTCCAAGTGCTAGGATCTGAAATAGGACAAAAAAAAAATAACACAACCTAGCGTAAAATGGACCAAAGATAGGACGTTTCAAAGATAAATAATCAAGAAACATTCAAGAAATGAAGGAAAAAACACATAATTAAGCACGTATCAACACTTGACTCTCGTTGATTAGTATTATTCACTAACATCTTACAAAGATTAAGTTGTTCTTCCTGTTAATTACTATAGGAAATGATGATGCATGGCATATTTAAAGTGGTTCCTAATTTTTTATGTTCTTATTTTTTTTTTCTCAATTCCACCGTTCAAATCTCATCCACTTTATTCCTTTGCGCTATTGAGATTAAATCCTAAAGTCAATAGGATTTCCGGACTCCTTTGCCACTTTAATTACCCCTCTATGTGTTAAATCTTCTTCATTTTCCTTCAATAGCCTTGACAAAATGGCGAGTGTATACCTACCACTCCCATATCCCTAAGTATATTTTCCAAATGAAATATGCTAATACCTCTATGAAGATATTTGCTAGCTGGTCAACAGTGTCCAAGCGGAAAAGTTTGATCATACCAGCTTTATTGTTTTCTCTCGTGACATGGATGTTAATCTCGACATGCGTTGTCATCTCACGAAATGATGGATTCTCTGCAATGTGAATAAAATATTTTTGTCAAATAGTCATGGTCAAGGGGATTGGGATTGGGACACTTAGCTCTGATAACAAAATCTTCAGCCATTGAACTTCACATATTACATGAACTTGTGCCATGTACTATGTTTCATATTATGATCTTGCTACTGTAATATGCTTCTTGGAATTTCCTATTAGTAAAGATCTCCCTAAATAGGTATACTATCAATTGATGGACCTTTTGGTGTTAGGAATAAAGTCACAATACCTTATTATAACCATCTTTTATTTGGCACTAAAGTGCATCCCCTGTCTAGATGACATTTTTTATTTTTCTAATGAGTGTTGGCAGATCTGTTTTGAAACTTACTTAGATACTGACATGTAAAATCAGTGTAAGGTCTTGTAACGGTGATGTAATGTAAATTTCCAAACAACATTTTGTGGCATTGTGCGTCTTCTAAAGTTTCTCCTCCGCTTTAGCTGAATAGGGTCTTCATATCAGTGAGAGTAAGAGTTACTTTAACATCGATATATCATTACCAGTCAAACAATCTACATAATACTTCTTTTGGTTCAAAACAATGCCTCCTCCATTTAAGTATATTTCAACTCTCGGGAAGTACTTCAGTGCATAGATCATTGATTGTGAAGTCCTTCTTCATGTACATGTTAACCCTTTCCATATTATATAGCATGTCATCCGCCTTGATGATATCACCTGCACAAACCAATAAGAAAATAATTTTTTCTCCCCCCCTCTTTGTGAAGATTGAATAGTCATATGCAGATTCTGAGTTTTTTTAAACAGAACAATTTAACTTAGGATACCATTGGTTGCAATCTTATATCAATCCATACATAGAATTTCTCAGCTTGCAAACCAAGCTTTCACTTCTATCCAATCCCGGATGAGCCTTCATGAACATTTCCTCTTCTGTCCATTTGATGCACATTTCATCCTTTGAAATATGAACTTTGATTGTGTTGATTTTAAACACCAGAGAGATTTATCTAGAAATTCAATGTATAAATCTCTTAGCCACTTATCTGAATTTATGGCTTTGATTATTGACATTAGGTTTG